TATGCAGACTCAAGGGTGGGGAATTTCAGTATTAGAAAATGCAAACCAAAGAGGTGGTCAAAGATTAACCACCAACAGACAAACCACGGTGCAACAGGGAAGATCGAAGGTCACAATAGAGGGATGGTGTTCCACCAGATAACCACAAAGGAGATCTATCAACCAAAACTCCATACCAGTACTTACAAATCCCAAATCAAAAGAAAACCAGAACTAGGGTTCCTGATTTTCAGGCGCTCGAAGATCGAAGACTGAAAATTAATTTTCCAGTCTCCAAAACTCAATCGAAGACTCAAAAACAGCCAAGAGAGGCTCTGATACCACTGTTATACAAAACTTAAACTGAAAGATTACAGATCTAAAGAACTCGAACACCTATTACAAAAGTTTATCTCCAAAGAACCACTGAACACCAAGGTTTCCCAGATCGAAGGCCCAGAATATTGTACCCATCTGTATCAACGCTATGAAACCCAGATTCACCCAAAACCCTCACGATTCACAGTAAACGTGCAGCTTCTTCTATAAACCAGAAGGGCTCAACGTTACCAACAACAACAGCATTTCATTTCACCAGATTTCACACAAAAAATACACTCAAGAAACAGATTCAATAGATCCTCACAGCTAAAGAAGAAGATGATGAAAAGAGATAGTACGAAGACTCTAGAAAACCCTCAAACAAAATGAAAATATCGAATGAATGAAAAACCATTCGAGCACCAAAATATCAACGCATCAAGATTGGGCAATAGGCAATCCAATGGTCCAGAGAAACTCACGCTTCTGGAACAAGAAATACAACCAAAGTTGCAATAGCCAAACACGCTTATTATCGGATGGGCTATTGGGCTGGGTGATCTGGGCTTTCATTTTAGCTAAATGTATTGGGCAATAACAATTGGGCTGAAAGCCATTTCATCATCGCCTATTGGGTTGGGTTGGCATCACAGCCTTTACATATAGAATGAAAACTTCAATTTTGTTCACCTTCAAATTATCTTCTTTCCTTCGTTCCACTTTATTCTGCTTTTACAGCAACTAAGTATGTTTGTATATGAGCAAAGATTTTTTGAGTATTAATATATAATATAACATTCGAACTTCAATTGATTGCAACAAACATTCAACAGTTCTATGATAGATCAATATTATTTCTAATTGATCGTTATTTGGTCGCAATAGTGATCTAAGATGACATCACCAAATATAGCATTATCATATTCTATATGAGAAAGAAAAATAAACTAAAAGTGTACGGTACACAATACATACATTTACCAAGTTGAGAGACATGTCTACACATTTAGTTGAAGCACCAAATTTGCCACACATTCAAATTGGCCAGTTTTTGTGACACTAATATAAGCAACTCTAATTTATACAGAGTGGTATTGGCTAACTCTAATTTTATATCACTCGGATTATAATTTCAAGCAGCATCCTGATCGAACATGACCGGAGAAATTTTTTGGTATGTCAACTTTTTCCCACTTGTAACTCTTCAAATCCAGTAGGTACCCCTTATGTAGCGCACCAAATCCTCCCGATCCAATAACAAATAGGTTTCCTTGCCATGCTGTCATATAAGATGTACTCCGGACATCGGCTGGTAGCTCTGCCACATCTTGCCATGTGGAACCTTGTCGTGCTGCCATGA